AAAACATTGAATGGCTGAAATTAAATCAAATTATGTTTTTTTCAAGTGCAGTAAATGTGAATATTGTATGAATCTCAACAATTCATAGGGCTCCAATGGCCTAAAACTTGTGTCATTATTTGTGTTAAAAAAAAAAGAGAGACTGCAGAACTCTGCCCTTTATATGTATATCCTTATGTAAATTTTGTGAGAATCATGTTTAATATCATTAGATTGATTTATAAAAATCATTTTTGTCAAAGATGAGAGTCCAATAGTATTAAAACATGGTTTTACAAAATTTAAGTAAGGACATACTTTATATATATATAATTAATTTTTTTTTTTTTTTAATTTGGACCGCGTTTACTACAAAATTTCAACAGAATTTGCAACTACAAAATTTTTCGTGCAACGATTTCTTCACATAAGTACTTTGTCCAATTTTAAAAGAAAGAAAAAACAAGATATTTCAGAAAGTGGACGAGTATTCATACACATTAAAAATCAAATTTCATATGAAAAATTTTAATCTTGACCAACTTTACTTATGTTGAATTTAAAAAAAAAAAACAAAATTTCAAACGAATTTGGAAACTACAAATTTATAATCATTGATTCAATGTAATCTAACGATTTTTAATAAGAAGTTAGAATTAATTAATTTTTAATTTCAACTAAATAATTTTTAAACCATTAGATTATCATCAATCAATGGTCATGAATTTATGTCAAAAATCAGTGTTAGTCCATATTTACATATTTCCGAAAGATGATCAGTATTTATACGCATGAACAAGGCAGACGTAGAGTAAGTTGAGGGTAGGCCGTGGCCCACATCAAATTAAAAAAATATTAATATGTAATTTTTTTTTTTTTTTTTGACAATTTCAGTTAGAAAAGTAGAATATGAATGTTATATGCAGGGTGGATTTATTAAATTTACTATTTTATTTATTTTTTGTCACATTACTTTGTATAAAGATTTTTGTAAAATTTCTCTATAATTGTAGTATTACTCAAATGATGTGAAGGAGAAAAAATAAATGGGTATGGTCCCCCTAAGGAGAGAAGAGAAGTGACTTTTGAATTTAACAAAGGCAACCCAATTTGTGGATGGCAAATGAGTTGTGCCTCTGGACGTGGATCCCTCATAAGGCAATATATGGATGAGTTAGAGATTCACTGAAAGTCAATAATATTTCCTTTCTTTTAGACCTGACGTAAAACAAACTCCTCCTAACCTGATATCCTTAGATATTTGACAATAGACCAGTGTTGATTAGGTTGTTTACATTAGTTAGTATTTTTAAGTATATGATGATAAAAGAGTGTTTGATCACTATAGTTTAATTATTTATTATGATAATAATAATTTATCAATTTAAATTAGTTTATTATAATAAATTATTTGTAATAGTAGAAGTCAATCTTTATCACTACAAGTAGTATTTTGTCATAATTGATTTATATTTAAAGACCAAATGATAAGTTTTATGGTGAAAAATAATATATTATGACAAAATTGATTTTGTCAAAATTGTGAATAGTGATTAAATTATTTGCTCATAATTTTAAGAGTGACAAAAATTTATTTATTATTGGCTTTATTATGATAACATTTATTTTGTCACATGTTTGTTTAATATGATATTATTATTTGTCAAAAATTGCATAGTGAAGGAAATAATTTTGTAAAAAATTTAATAACATGACAAATAATCTTTTATACAAANTAGTAAATATTATGATAGGATAGTGTTTTTATTTTATATGAGAAAATAGAAGTTTGAGGAAGAATAATAATTCAAAGTTTAAGAGAAGAGAATTTTATTGATTATTATTTACTAAATTCTAATTTATTTTTATATAGTTTTACATGTTATTCTAATTCTAAAAAAAACTCTAATAATTCTAATCCTAATTATCCTAATCAGATAATAACATAATTTAATTAGGATTTAGTTGTCTCTCATTGGAAACCTATAAATGGCATGAAAGGGTAAAAATAAACGGGCATGATCCATGAGGAGAGAAGAGAAGTGACTTTTGAATTTATCAAAGGCCACCCAATTTGTGGATGGCATATGGAGTTAAATGAGTTGCGCCACGTATTGGGTTTCTCCACCGTAAAGCTTCTATTTTCAACTGTCTTGCTGGCTGTCCTGATAATAGCATAATTTAATTAGGCTTCAGCTGTCTCTCATTGGACAACATACAATAATATTATACTTATAAAAAAATAAGGTGATAAAAAATAAATAGAAGAGTGAAATAAAAAGTTAAATGAATAGAAGAGTGAAATAAAAAGTTAATTTGTTAAATTTATTATTCTATTTATTTTTTATCATATCACTTTGTATGAAAATATTTGTAAATTTTTTTTGTAATTATAGTATTACTCAAATAACGTGAAGGAGAAAAAATAAATGGGTATGGTCCCCATGAGGAGAGAAGAGAAGTGACTTTTGAATTTAACAAAGGCCACTTAATTTGTAGAGAGTAATACTATACTTATTTACGATCTTATTAACCATTGTAAAAATAAAGTATAATATGGATACCATACGGATAGTACAGATACTATATATAATTTTAATAAAGGTGAGTAAAATAGTTAGTAAATTCGTGAGTAAGCATAACATTTTTCATTTGTGGATGGCAAATGAGTTGCGCCACGTATTGGGTTTCTATTGTGTACATGTCTGGACGTGGATCCCTCGTAAGGCAATATATGGATGAGCGTGAGATTCACTGAAAGTCAATAAGGATTGTTTATTTAGTATGAACTGCTCTTTAAGAGATTAGGTAGAGTAGCTCATATTTCCTTTCTTTTGGACATGACGTAAAACAAACTCCTCCTAACCTGATATCCTTAGATATTTGACAATAGACCAGTGTTGATCAGGTTGGTCACATTAGCTCGTATTTTAAAGTATATGATGATAAAAAAGCGTTTGATCACTATAGTCTAATTATTTATTATGATAGTAATAATTTATCAATTTAAATTAGTTTATTGTAATAAATTATTTGTAATAGTAGAAGTCAATCTTTATCACTATAAGTAGTATTTTGTCATAATTGATTTACATTTAAAGACCAAATGATAAGTTTTATGGTGAAAAATAATATATTATGACAAAATTGATTTTGTCAAAATTGTGAATAGTGATTAAATTATTTGCTCATAATTTTAAGAGTGACAAAAATTTATTTATTATTGGCTTTATTATGATAACATTTATTTTGTCACATGTTTGTTTATATGACATTATTATTTGTCAAAAATTGTATAGTGAAGGAAATAATTTTGTAAAAAATTTAATAACATGACAAATAACCTTTTATACAAATATTTTTACATGACAAATATTTTATTGTCAAAATAATATAGGCGTGACAAATATTTTTTGTCATCTCAATAATGATAAAAATGTTTATATTTATACTTCTAAAGTGCGACGAGTCTTTTTCGTGACAAAAATATTCAAGTGAAAAAAATAATTTATGCAGAAATTAAAATCGTGATAAAATATATTTATCAATTTTTTTTAATAACAGTAAAAATATTCTGTAAAAAACGTGAAAAGTATAGTAACAAAAATTTATAGAAAATTGAACTTAAACTACTTTGGGATTTCCATAACTTGGCAAATATATTGTAAAATAAAATCAATCAAGCAATTAACATGTTAGGTCAAATCTTGTAATAGTGTTATATTTATATACACAGTGTTATACTCAACTTATTATTAATTATTTATTTACCTTTTAAAACATAAAAAACAATTATTGTACAATAAATACCAATTGGATCTACCATGTCTAATGATGCCAGCTCAACATGATCTTTTAGGAAATCCGGTCCCATGTTTTAACATCAACACTGATGACGCACATACACCTCTCTCACACGAGTAATGCTATGCTTACTCACAATCTTACTAACCATCTTACAATCCTGGAAAATATAACGGCATACTACGGGTACATACGCATAGTACCCGTACTATGCCGTTATATTTATCAGGATAGTAAGATGGTTAGTAAGATTGTGAGTAAGCATAGTTTTATTGCTCTCACACATCACACAAATCCTCCAACGTGACTACTTGAAACGGGCCAAACAAATAATAAAATTTTGTTGGAAATATTAGTTAAATAATTACAAAATTATAAAAAATTGTCGGGACAAATTTTTTTCTTCATAACTCTTTGTGAATCTTCATCTCTTCTTCTCTTCCCGCATCCCCACTCAACTCCACCGATTTTCCTTAACTTTCATTGCCCTTAAATTCTCCATTAATTACACTACTACCCTCTCCATTAAGCTTTTCAATGACTTAATCCTTATTTGGTGTTCAGATCCTAAAACTCTCTTTCACATTTCTGAACCTTTTGTCTGTCTTTCTCTGACCGATTCGACTTAGGCGAGTCAAGATCCTTGGTGCATGGGGACTCAGTGAGTCCGCTAGATCTAGAGAGCGATTCGCCGAAGTAAAGTCACCTTCCTCTGCCTCTTCTTGATAGTTGTCGTTTTACGTGGTACAATCAGCGTCGAGAAATTTGGGACTCCCGAGCAAGACTTCAATGATATTCGCGAACACTTCTACGCTCACTGTGTCCTTGAAGAGGTTTAGACTGTTAAGAAATATATGGTTATTTTGTTTTATTGTTTATTAAGGGTAGATCTGTCTTTTCATTATTTTCTTTGTTTAGCCTATATATAGTCTCTTTGTATTTAGGTTAAATTATTCTTTTTGTATTCAATTACATTGTGCATTATCAATGAAACCCTAGCCTCCTCTTTTTATTTTTTCTTTGGATTGTTTAAAATGGTATCAGAGCAAGGTTCATGGGACGAGGCTTAATCTTAAACACAGCTTACGAGAAAATTTTTGGAGAGGGTATTCATTCAGTTTCTGCAATCTGGTATTTCGTTGGTATTCGTTCAATTTCTATAATCTGGTATTTCGTTTTCCTTTCTTTTGCATACTGGTTTTCTTTGTTCTTTGATTATGGCTACTGAAAGAGATGATTCGCTTCAGTCTGTGAGTGTGAGGTTAGATGACAAGAATTATTTCTGTTGGAGTTATGTGATGAGAAATTTTCTTAAGGTTAAAAAGATGTGGGGATATGTCAGTGGAACTTCTGTGAAACTTAGGAATACTGATGAGTGTTATGCTGCTTTGATAGATGCCTGGGAAGCAAACAATGCAAAAATTATTACTTGGATTAACAATTCTGTTGAGCATTCCATAGGTACACAGTTGGCGAAGTATGAGACAACAAAGGAGATTTGGGATCATCTGCAAAAGTTATTTACTCAATCAAATTTTGCAAAGCAGTATCAATTAGAGAATGACATACGAGCTCTTCAGCAGAAGAATATGAGTGTTCATGAGTTTTATTCTGCTATGACAGCTCTTTGGGATCAATTGGCTCTTACAGAATCTGCAAAATTAAAGGCATGTGGTGCCTATATTGCTAGTAGAGAGCAGCAATGGTTGGTACAGTTTTTAACTACACTTCGCAGTGATTTTGAAGGACTTATGTGACAACCACTTTCTACTCAAATACTCATAAGAATGTACATAATAAAATACATATAAAATAGTATAAAGAGTTGGGCCCAAATTTTTCTTTTTATTAAACATATATATTCTTTACAAACATATACATATTTTATACAAAATTGTCAAAAACATGGTGGACAGTGCAACCGCTTCCCCTCGTACGCTGATGTCCATCCGACCGTGTCCTCACCTAGATCCTGCAAAACATAGGAAAATAATGCTCAGTAAGTAAATCCTCTACTCATCTATCCCCGTAACTCTCTCTCTCTAATTCTTTCCTTACAACTTCTCATTCAATTTCTCTTTGAGACTTCTCTCTCTCTTTCTCTTTCTTAGAACTCTTTTCTATTAACTCTCTTTAGTAAGTCACGGCCCCATCTTACCGGGGCACGGCCAGGACTCACTCCCGCTTTACGTGACCTCTACTCGTTTTAGCTGATCGGACTGGGTTATGCATGGATTCGGAACCCTTGACCATGTGAGTGTATAATCTCTCTCTCGGGTACTCGGGTATAGCCCTCATCCGCATGCACTCTCACGGGCTACACCACTTTTCTATCTCATACTCATGCCGCTCTCTCAATGCGGCGTACATGCGGGAATACTCTACCCATTACTCACGGGTTCCCCATTGCACAACCTCCTCTATTCTCTTTCTCTTAGCTCTTAAAGTAGCTTATACTCAAATTCTCTACTATGTCTCAAGCTACTTCTTAAGTGTATAAACAAATGTGTATAGATGTGTATAGATAGCTCATGCTCACTAATGCACTAATGAAATGCCAAATACAAGATTTCCTCAAAACAGTCATTCTGCATAGGTCACACTAAAAAGGCCATAACTTGCGTTATACACCTCGGATTGCTACGATTTTGGTCTCTTTTTAAAGCTTAGAGACAGGGCTACAACTTTTATGTTTTGGTCTAAACCCAGTTCAATCCGTAACATGCCGAAAAATTACTCAAAAGGTCACAGCTGTGACAGGGTAGATTCCACTTAGGCATTTCATCAAACAACTTTTGTGCATACCAAAAACTCTAATTATCAATAACTCTACTCTTCTCTTTAATCATCCAAAATGGGAGAAAAACTCCCTTATATAGTCATAATTTCTGCCAAGGAAAACACTCCCAAAAATATTCATACAAACTCCTCCAACTTCAACTCAATTTCCATCTCTCATCACACATCAAAAACACTTCTCATAATACATATTCATCTCAACTCAATTCTCAACAACATAACATACTTATACAAGCATACATCTCTACTCAATCTCTAAATCTCTACTCAAAAACTTATTCAAAACTCAAGTTGGTTGGATTTACTTACCTTGTGAAAAAGTGACTTCTTAGCACTTTTCCTTTCCTTTGTTTTCTTGTCCTCTACAACTCAAAACAACAACAAGAGCAATAACAACCAAATAAGACTTCAATATAACTATAAGCAAACTCACATCTAAAGCAAGAATCCTTACCTTAGGATGCTTTAGATGAAATCTCTACTCAAAATGACTGAAAAGCTCTCTTAAACCCCTTAGAAATCTTGGAAGATTGGATGGAGAAATTGAGAGAAAGTAGGCAATGGAAGAGGCGGTGGAAATGGATGGACTAAAGGGTTTCTCTACACTTAACCCTTTTTAGCTCATATTATAATCACCCTTTCCCATTTTGCCCTTGCCCTTCCTTAGAAATTCCATCTATATCCTTTGATTCTTTACAAATACACCCCCATCCAACCACAATCTCTACTAAATTTTCTTACATTTTACTCCCCACTTTTCCTACTAATTAGGGGTAGAATGGTCATTGTGCCCCAAAAGGAGAATTCTCTAGAAAACTCAAGAAACTTTTTATTAGGCCTGTAGCCGCGGCGAAGAACTTTCCGTCGCCCCGGCAAAACAGGGCAGAACCTACCCGTCGGTTCAGCTCCTTCTCGCCGCGGCGAAGCTTCTTTTTCGCCCCATCGAAGATTGGATTTCCAAAATTCACCAAATTTCAACCAATTTCAATGCAATAAATCAACCAACTCACCATACAAACTCATTTGAAGCTAAATCAATGAACCTTTAAGTAATACAGAAAATCTTAAGTACGTACCTCAAGTGGGATATTACAACTTAGAGGTTCAATTTTGCATCGTTCTCCACTTCCTTCTGTTGACTCAGTTGTCAGTGAGTTATTGGCTGAAGAAATACGCCTTAAGTCTTATTCTGAAAAAAGGAATTATTTATACTTCTAATCCTTCTGTGTTAGCAGTTCCTTCTAAGCCACTCTTTAATAATCAGAATAAGCCTTACACAAGGGTTGCCTTCGACAAGTGCAGTTTCTGTAAGTAAAAAGGTCATTGGAAGGCTCAGTGTCCTAAGTTGAGACAGTAGAATCAATCACAGTAGCAATCTCAAGCTTGGAAGCCTAGCAACCAGTCACAATCTAATGCTCATAGACCACCTCAAGGTTACAAACCACCACAGTCTAATACTGCAGCAGTTGTTTCATTAGGTCCTTTCACCGATCCTAGTACTCTGGTTGAGCAATTTCAGAAGTTTCTCTCCTTAAAGCCACAAGCTATGTCTACTTCTTCTTCCGTAGGTTCGTTCCCTCATAGTTCTTCAGGTATGTCACATTCTGTATGGGTTTTTGATTCTGGTGCTTCACATCACATGTCTCCAGATTCTTCATCTTTTGCTTTTGTGTCTCCTTCGTCTTTTATTCCTGTCATAACTACTGATGACACTCATATGCCTTTAGCAGGTGTTGGTTCTGTTGTCACACTTCACTTGTCTCTCTTTATTGTTTATCATATTCTGAAACTTACATTAAATCTTGCTTCTGTTGGTTAGTTATGTGATTTTGGTAATTTAGTCACATTTTCTTCTTCTTCTTGTTATGTGCAGGATCTGCAGTCTCAAAAGCTGAATGGGACAGGCCGTAGGAAGGGGGGACTATATATTTTGGATGAGTTAAAAGTGCCAGTTGCTGCTGCTACTAGTGTTGATTTGTCTTCTTTTCATTTAAGTCCTTCTTCTTCTAGTTTTTATTTATGGCATTCTTATTTAGGTCATGTTTCGTCTTCTTGTTTGAGATTTTTGGCCTCCACAAGGGCTTTGGGAAATTTGCAAACTTGTGATATTTTTTATTGTAGTGGATGTAAACTGGCAAAATTTTCAGCTTTACCTTTTAATCGAAGTATTTCTATTTCCTCTTCTCCATTTGATTTGATTCATTCTAATGTATGGGGACCTTCTCCTGTTACCACAAAAGGAGGGTCTCGATATTATGTTTCTTTTATTGATGATCATACTCGTTATTGTTGGGTTTATTTAATGAAACATCGTTCTGAATTCTTTGAGATATACATAGTCTTTCGAGCTCTTATCAAAACTCAACATTCTGCTATTATCAAATGTTTTAGGTGTGATTTGGGTGGGGAATACACTTATAATAAATTTTGTGAGTTGCTTGCATTAGATGGAACTGTTCACCAAACCTCGTGTACAGATACTCCTGAGCAAAATGGTGTTGCTGAAAGAAAACATAGGCACATTGTTGAAACTGCTCGTTCTCTCTTATTGTCTACATCTATTCCTAGCCTGTTTTGGGGTGAAGCTGTTCTTACTGCTGTAGGTTTAATTAATACAATTCCATCTTCTCATATTTCAGGTTTTTCTCCTTTCGAAAAGTTGTATGGGTATGCCTCTGATTATTCTTTCTTTAGAGTTTTTGGTTATACTTGTTTCGTTCTTCGTCCTCATGCAGAACGCAGCAAGTTGTCCTCTCGGTCTGCTATTTGTGTCTTTCTTGGTTATGGTGAAGGTAAAAAGGGGTATCGTTGTTTTGATCCACTAACTCAAAAACTTTTTGTGTCTTGTCATGTTGTTTTTCTTGAGCATATACCTTTCTTTTCTATTCCATCCACTACTCATAACTTGACTAGATCCGATCTTATTCGTATAGATCATTTTTCTGAGGATTCTGATAGTTTGTCATCTCAGGTTCCTAGTACTTCAAATACCCCTTCTCATGTTCCTAGTACTTCAAATACCCCTTCTCATGTTCTTACCCCGTTACCTTTACATTATACTCGACCAATTCATACTATTCATTCTACAGGTACTGACACTTTACTCTCTAGCACACGTGAAGCTCCCTCTTCTCCTATGGTCCATTAAGATTTGTCTAAGATTATGGATCCACCTCTATGTCAATCCATACGCATTCGTAAGTCCACAAAGTTACCAGATTTTGCTTATTCTTGTTATTCTTCATCTTTTGTTTCATTTTTAGCCTTTACTCATTGTCTCTCTGAGCCTTCTTCCTAAAAAGAGGCAATTCTTGATCCTCTTTGGCAGCAAGCTATGGATGAGGAATTTTCTGGTTTGCATAAGACAGGTACTTGGGATTTGGTTCCTCTACCTCCTGGTAAGACTGTTGTTGGTTGTTGTTGGGTGTATAACATCAAGACTAGTTCTGATGGATCTGTTGAGCGATACAAAGCTAGGTTGGTTGCAAAAGGGTACTCTCAACAGTATGGTATGGATTATGAGGAGACATTTGCTCTTGTTGCAAAAATGACTATTATTCATACTCTTATTGCAGTAGCTTCGGTTCGTCAGTGGCATATTTTGATGTTAAAAATGCTTTCTTGAAATGAGATCTTCAAGAAGAAGTTTATATGGCGTGCTCTCCTAGTATTTCACATGATTCTAGGTATGTTTGCAAGCTCAAGAAAGTGTTATATGGTCTTAAACAAGCACCTCGTGCTTAGTTTAAGAAATTTTCTGTTGTGATCTCTTCCCTTGGATTTGCATCTAGTAGTCATGATTCTGCTCTTTTTGTTAAGTGCGCTGATACAGGTCGTATCATTCTGTCTTTATATGTTGATGACATGATTATTACTGGTGATGATATTACTGGTGATGATATTACTGGTATTTCAGTTTTGAAGACAAAGTTAGCTAGACAGTTTGAAATGAAGGATT